GGAGGATGGGGAGGAAGAAGAAACGGTGGGAATAAGAACAGCAAGTCTTGGGTGCTCACAGGATGACAGGTAGCTGTCAGGAAAATAAATAAGGGGCTGGTATCTGCCGGTATAAGGGGGAAGAAAGGAAATTAAGTTTTTATTAAAAGAGATAACAGCAATGCTATCAGCCAGGCAGTTTCCTACTGCCTGCTGAGTCCTGTGAGGAGGATTCCCAGTTCTGTCCATGACAGACTGTCAGAGTGGCCCATAGATGCACAGTAAGACGCCCACAGAAGCTTCGTTCTACTGGAGCTCGTACCTTCATAAAACATTGAAGATGCCCTAACCAATTAGATATGAAAATATTAAAAATCCTACATGTGGCTTAATTTGGGGCCTTGAGCTAGATTTTTGTGCATGAAAATGTAGACTGAGATCAAGTAGAAATGTGTATTCAAAGAGAAACATATTTAGTAACAACTATTTTACACACAAAAGAATGAAGCCAAAAGTTCTGGCTGAGATTAATGTTTCTTATAAGAAATTCAAAGCAATAGTCCCTGACTCCTTCTCATTAAAATCTTATGTTACCATTTATTATGACTTTGAGCAACTTAAAAAAACAAATAAAAAAATTAAACGCAAACTTTAAGTGTTAAAAGAAAAAAGAATTGATCCCCTTAGATTAATCCACTTGCCTGTATATGCTACGGCTGCTCCTTCAGCTACACAATAAACAGCTCAATTTTTCTCCACAAATGATACCTATGCCTTGAAAACCTTTTAACTTTTTTAAAATTGTGTTTGGCTCAAATAATTTAGGATAGAACAAAACGGGAGGTAAAGGAGAGGACTTGATCCAAATGAGTTAGACATCTGTATAAGTGTAAATTAAAGTGGATCGTAGGTACCTGTTACCTTCAAGACACTGAATTTAGGAACAACCAAGAGCTCTTAAATAATGTCTCTTCACACTTCCCCGTTTTAGTATGAAGAGTTCTGGGTTGCATTGAAAATGGATATTTTTCCCCAAATAGGTTCTCAAATTCAGATATTATGAGCAGTGTTTGGCTGATTACATGATTTGCAGTGGTGAATCCTTCGGTACTGGTGAAGTGCGAAGATTGACAGACTTCAGTGCAGTCAGGTTACAAGCACAGACACTCCAATTTTCAATTTAATGGGTTATTTGGGTGTGCAAAGGCCTGAAGCTTGAGTGAAGAATAAGAAAATAATTGCCTGAGGCATGAAAGCTGTGTAGAATTTCTTTGGATTTTAAATAAAGCTGTTTTTGCAGGACCATAAAACTATGCTCCATAAATCTGTCAAAAATAATTTCTGAATTTATTTTTAAAATTCTAAGAAAGAAATACAACTCAAATCACATTTACATTGCATTAAAAATCTTTGTGGGAACAAAGCATGAGAAAAACAAACTAAATAAATTAAAACAGGTATATTCTTTATTGAAATAAAGTACTTAAATATATATATATATATATATCCCAAATACATAGAGTTCATTTAATATATTCAACAAGAAACCTATGGCCATAAATTATTAAAATCTCTAAATAAAGAAATGAATTAAGGAAACATAAAACATTTAAATAAGTCTCTGGTGTAAGTTCACACTTAAATATGTGGCCTCTTTTCCAGAAACAGAGCAAGGGCAGGCAAAAATCAGTTAGAAATAACTTAGCTTGAAAAACAATATAAACATCTCCACATACTAGACGTGGAACAGAAATGCATTGAGGTGTAGAGCTAAAACTCAGTGCTTTCTGGGTTCTGCAATAGGTTGCCATTAAAATCCTTCTGTAAAGGTTAACAGGGTCTGAAAACCAGGACTTGAACGTAGAAATTTCTTCAATACCATCATGAAAAGAGGCCAAAGTAAACTATTAACAACCACAAAAATCAACAATAAAAACACTGATGTATTCTAAATAAAATTAATTTTAGGAAACATTTTGATAGTCTTTAAATGAGGATACTTATAATGCTCAGTTTATCTTTTTAACGTAGTGGACTAATGAAAAACTGTGGCTATGCGAAAAGCTTAATAGAAACCTTGGGAATACAAAAAATGAACTTAAAACTTTGATAATTGTATAAATGCTGAAATAGTCACAAGGATAGAACTAGTGAATTTTAAGAATTGATTCATGTACTCAGAGTGCATCCCGGAGAGATCAATAAGATGAAAAGCAGATAAGAGGCTCTAACATAAGTCCAAATTGATTTCTAAATTAAAGGAAGAGAGGAAATTACACATGGACAATATTTGAAGATAAGTAGCTGACACATTCAAATAATGAAGAAATTAATGAATCTTCATACCACCTATGCATTCTGAATGCCAAAAAAAGATATAAAAACGAATTCCACATCTAGATGGGTACTGCAAAATTCAGAATAGTAAAGAAAAAGAGAAAATTTTTAAACTGCCAAAGAGAAAAGTCTGTTAATCTATCAAGAATCATTCTTAAACTGGAAAAATTTTTATGTGGCAATAACCAAGGACAGAAAAGAACTTAACAATAATCAAGAATATCTTCAAAGTGATGAGAAGAAATAATGGGTAACCTAAAATTTTATATCCAGATAAGCTACCTCTTAGGAGTAACAACAACAATACAATAGAAAACAGACACACAAAAGCAGCAGAGTTTCATTAAAAGACTAAAACATGTATTTTAGAAAGAAGAAAATTCTTGGATGAATAAATGTCAAGCAAAAAATGATAAAAAAAATGTCAGTAAATGTAATTAATTATTGACAGTTAGAAGAACTATTTAAACATGTGAAACTAGATTCTACTCAATAACAAAAGGTAAATTAGGAAAATGTGTACTTATTTGTGCATTATCCATAGGAAGTATGACTGTCCTTGTAAAATTCGTA